GGGGCCAGGTATATAATCAACAGGCCCACTTGTACCCCTTGTCCCCACTTCACAAGGAGAGACTCCACACCGTCTATCTGAGGTACAGTGGTCTCCCTCGGACATAGGCTCTCCCTTATAATGACCGCTACCCCGCCGCCCCTACCCCGGGTCCTTGGCTGATGAAATACCTGGAAACCCGGCGGGCAGATGTCCACGAAGGTTATGAATATTACCAGTAGCTATCAACCTTAACTCTCTTTTGCAGAGACATACCATTACACAGATGCCCCTCAACTTGCAGCAATTCATTTAGCAACTGAATAGTTACAGCAGAACTGAAAAAAATTACAACTGGTCCTCACACTTACAACTGTTGCAGCATTACAATCCACAGTCATGTGATCAAAATTCTGGCACATGGCAATTGGCATGTATTTCCAAGGTGGCAGTGTCCCAAGGTCATGTGGTCATAATTTGTGACATTCCCAGCCAGCTTCTGATGAGTGAAATCAATGCGGGAAGCTGAATTCACTTAGTAACTGCCTGATTCATTTAATAACTGCAGTGATTCACTTAACGATTGCGGTAAAAAAAATGTAAAATTGTGTGTGACTCACTTAACCACCTTACCATCAATCAAAATTCTGGTCCCAATTGTGGTTGTAAGTCGAGGACTACCTGTACTAAGTGTGCCCATTATTGATGCACCATTATACCATTGTCTTAATTTGTTCATTCCAGTTATCTATTATGGCAGTGAAAAATATGGAGCCAGCTGATGCCCCATGCCAGTAATTCTTCCCTTTCTTCCTGAGCCAAATATGAATTCTGTAGAAAGCAAATTTGAAATAACTATTTGGAGGTTACTTACGGGAAAATAGAGAATAACCTCTGGATATTTTTATCTATTTATTCATATCCTCTTATTTTGAAGTGAAGTTTCAAAAGAGATTTATTTTTAGCTCTATTTGTAACCTAAGAATGCAATCTTATGATGTCTTGTTTTGACTGAAAAATTCTAAATTCCTCTTCAACATTTTGTCTATTTCTTCCTGTTCTGTTCTGCCATTCCCCTCTACCATGAAGTCATAATCCAGAAAAGCCTTCCTTTATCTAGTGACTTTCAGATAGTTTGTGCTACGGTTCCCATAATTCTGTTGAATCTTGAGGCAGAATGGGGCTGCTATATATGTGCTGATGGCACTTTGTGTGCTGATGGCTCCTTTGTCCCTCAGAGAAGTCATAACGTGATCTGATATAACATTGTCATCAATCCTTTGCCATGGTCAGACCACTTTCTAGTTTATATGTATGTCACTAACAAACTGCATTTCCACAGAGTAATAAACTATTAGGAATATATGTTCTTGGTGCCTGTTGGATGCCTCAGTTTTCTGTGAATGCTGGAGGAGTTCCCCAATGATTTTGTGGGACGTTCTTCTGTGCACCTTGCCAACCTCTGGAACTCGGAGATGAGGAGGGTGCTAGTTGAGATTGGCTCTTCTGTTCACACAGATCTCAGAAGTCTCCTTGGTTTATTGCGGTGTTTCAGGAAATTAAGCAGCTAAAGAGACACCTAGAGTACTAGTAGAAGGAAATGAAGAATGAATGTGATCATGCACATTTACATACTCCTATTTGGGAATATAGAGAAACAAATAATCAGAGGGAGCATAAATGATCCCATAATATTGATTATTTTTGAAAAGCAAGTTTTTAACTATAAATAGTGTTTTCTTCCCCTCTCCCCTCCAATAGTTCTAAACATGGACAACCTATTGAAACTTCCACCAAGTTAAAGGGCCAGGACCTCTTAACCCTACAAAACTACACACCTGAAGAAATCAAATATTTGCTTTGGGTAGCATCAGATTTGAAAAACAGAATCAAACACAAAAAAGAGGTAGTGTGAATACTTTTGTTCTCATTTCTTTATGTTTTTTTCTTCCCATATAGATTCTTATGTGATTCTGTAACTATAGATATTCATTGGTACTTCAGAAATTAGTTTTAGAATATTTTAGCTTGTCTGTCAAAATGACATGCTTATTGTAATTTATATTTTGTATGCTATGTCTAATATATTTAGGCTAAAGAACTTGGGAATAAGTACCACTTACTAAAATTTTAATTGGAAGTAAAACTTATCACATTTTGTTTCTGCTTTGCATTATGTTATGCCCTTAAACGAAAGAGGGTAGTCTTAGTCCCCCAGTTAGTTTGGAACTATAGCCCCCAGCTTTCTTCACCCAGGACCCGAAAATCCTTACTTGCTAAAAAGGAATATTTGTATCATTTATGAAAGAAAGAGACCCATTTTTCATCTGAAAGTGATTCAACAGCAAAACACTATAATTTGATTCAAAACAATTATTGTACATTTCAGTGTGTGATACCTATCACCCTTTTTTTCTTGTATTTCAGTATTTACCTTTATTACAAGGAAAATCTTTAGCCATGATTTTTGAGAAAAGAAGCACAAGAACTAGATTATCTACAGAGACAGGTAAATTTTAATTAAAATATTATGGCTATACATCCTATTTTCTTGTGTGGCCTGCATAACATTTAACTGCTGAAGCTACAATATATTTAGAGTCATAAGGAAAGGCCAATATTGTTTAAAAATATGGATTGTCATTATTTATCTCACAATTAGCATGGCTGGCTCAGGAATTCTGGGAGTTGAAGTCCACGAGTCATAAAAGAGCCAAGGTTGCCTACCTCTGATTTATGATGTCTATCTTATCCTGTATCCCTAGAGAAAGAGCACGTTTTTTATTTTACAAAATAGAATTAATAGATACCAAGAATCACTAAATCTGTCTGAAGCATTGATTTACATAGAATGTTCTCTGCACCCTTATTATTGGAAGTATTTTAGTTATTGTAATAAACATGTGGCTATCACATGTTGAGCACTGTTATTAGTAATAAGTTTATCTCTTACTACTTTCACTGCTTTATAGCAGGGCTTTTCAACCAGTGGTATGGGTACCACCTGTGGTACATAGGCACCTGGCAGGTGGTACGCGACCATCCTAGAAAAGTGGTAGCGGGGGAGGGGAATGAGCTGAACCGGTGGCAGCACCGCACAAGCCTGAGCGAGATATGGCTGGAGCTGCAGGGCTGTCAGGGCTCAGCAGAAGCACCAGGATCAGTGCCGCTTTCCAGCTGATCGGCGCTTCTTCGGGACTGTCAGAGCTCAGTGGAAGCACCAGGATCAGCGCCAGGCTCCAGCTGGAGCTCAGGGCTGATCCTGGTGCTTCTGCTGAGCCCTGAAGAAGCACCAATCAGCTGGAAAGCAGCACTGATCCTGGCACTTCTGCTGAGCCCAGAAGAAGCTCCAATCAGCTGGAATGTTGCAGCATCTCCAAGGTCTTGTGATTTACATTCAGATGCTTGGCAACTGATTCATATTTATGACGGTCACAGTGTCCCAGGGTCATGTGAAGTGACCAAAACCTGCTGCAACCACCCAGCAAACGGGGGGGATAAAAACCAAACAGCCCCCCACCCCACCCCTACTGCCAATCCTCAACAGAAATGCTCACAACAATGAAAACCTTGGACAGGAGGAAGAGCGCTGCCGGGTGGGCAGGCAGGTGTCTTGCTCGGCTGTGGTTTGGGGGGCACTTTTTTCAGTGCCACTGTAACTTCAAACAATCACTAAGCGAACTGTGGTAAGTCAAGGACTACCTGTACTTTATCACTTTTTTCCTTTTTTTTTTTTTTTTGGTCATCAAGTTTTTGACACCTTGCTAGGCGACTGGTGGTACTCGGATGTTGCCATATCCTAAAAGTGGTACAATGGGTGAAAAGGCTGAAAAGCCCTGCTTTATAGGACATATGGCAATGGCTGTGCTGCCATCTTATGGTGAGAATAAAACTTGACACACACGTCAGTATATTATTGTCAAGGGAACAGGAGGAGGAAACCAAATAGAGTCAGGATCATGACATAAGATTAGGAAAGTCCAAATGTGTATTTTCACTGCAGAAAGTTCATTTGATTGATATGTGCATTCCAACATGAATTCCAAATTACACTTTCTTCTTTAAATCTGGATTGTTGCACAATTCTAGAGTTTGTGCATAGTCATAGTTTTATAGATTGATTCTGTTAAAAAGCAAAGAGTTTTGTTGCTACTGAAATTCCACATGGGAATTGGATTTTGCTTCCATACATTTGCTTTAATTTTTTGGGAGGAGCTCTGCAGTCTTTGGAAGGCGCACAATCAGATTACTATATCTTTCACTTACAACAGACTCGTTGTATAGAAGAATTTCTGTTGTGTAAACACTGCTGGACTAATCTAAGTGCATAGCAAATGTTATTGTTTGTCTATTTGATCATTTATTTATTTTAGGATTTGCACTTCTTGGAGGACATCCATGTTTCCTTACGTTACACGATATACATCTGGGTGTCAATGAAAGCATCTCTGACACAGCACGGTTTGTAGAATATTTGGTGACTTCTTTGCATTTTTTGATAATATAAATATTAAAATTCAATGACTTTTATTCAAAAATTAGATCTTTTTTAACCCAAAAAATTGAAGGGAAAAAACCCTGATGCTTCAAGAGCATTGATAAGCTTGAATCTAAGGACATTAAAACTGTACATTTCACACTTTATAAGTAAGAAATGGCATCCTTCCTAAAATATGGACAAGGTGGAAGACAAGATAGAGGTTGCTGTATTGCCAATATAGTTCACAATGTTGCATAAAAAGCCTGAACAGCCCCCCCCAAAAGGAACAATTTTACCTATGAGGATATTGTACTTTTTTGTAGAATTCTGTGCATTGTCAGAAAAATAAAGTCTACCTATTTTGAAGCAGAAGTGGAGATTATAGAGTGCTACAAAGTCACAACTATTACTCAGAAAACATGATATTGAATGATGGAGGTTGTTGATCAGAAAAGAAAAGATCTTTTAATGAAGATTTTACGTTTTTCCATTTACTTTAATAATTTCAGAGCTAAAAAACAGTAACAATGTAGTTTAATATCAAAAACAAAAGCCCTCAACAGATTCAAGGCAAATTTTTAAATTGCCCTACAATGTAATATTTATAAAACTACAACTTATGTAGACTATCTTCTACATTTATCAAAAATACCACTGTCCTAAGATGTTCTTCACAGATCAAATCCATCAAGTTCTGTAACCTAGAATTAAATATTATTTAAATCCCTCATGTTCTTATACTATGTTTGTGTGTGTAGATACATATATAATTGAAGTATAAGGATATAAAGACTAGTTACTTTTTTGCACATTTTAAAATTATATTTTAGTTTCAATAGTTAAGTTCATACATCCCTCTAAATAATAATGTTATTTGCTTATTTTGAATAAATATGATACAGAAATTCAGCAATTACAATATATTTTTAGGGTTGAAGTCAGCCAATTTAAGTTTATTTAATAAGTTAATACTATGTGTAAACTCAGCTATTTGCCTGCTTTTTCATAACATTACATTAATACTGTATATGTATCTGTGTGCATCTCGTGCAACATAACTAGCACATCAACATATAGTACTACATATTTTAAAGTGTGAAAAATGGTTAAAATTATTCAGGTATTCGGGTAGTTATTGCATTGATACATTGCAGAGGCTTTATATTTTGTTTTCTATAGGGTATTATCAACCATGACAGATGCAATCCTGGCCAGAGTATATAAACATTGTGACCTAATCACGCTGGCAGAAGAAGCTGTAATCCCAGTGATAAATGGGTTGTCTGATTTTGATCATCCTATCCAGATTTTAGCTGATTATCTTACACTTCAGGTAATAGCTTTCTATTCTTTGATTTAAAATATAGTTTTAGCAATTTGTACTCTTCTAAAAAGTTCAATATATTTGAGTTATAAGGATATATATAGGTCTATCTTAGAGAGTTCAGATTTGAACCGAAGTTAAGAAATCGATAGAAGAAAATATTTGTAGCTCAGGGTTGAACTGTGGGGGGTCCTTAATGCTCTCTGAGCTTGGTGGTTTTGTTGCAGACATTTTATTACCAACTAGGTAACATCAACGCACAAGGACCTCATAATTAAGAAATCCCTGATTCAATTCTTATTTCAGATTCAATCTCCTAGCAAGCTGCTGTTTTCTACGTTACTCCCATGTCTTGTATATGGGCAATAATATTGATATATTTTATAAAGTGGTCCTAGAAATATTGAGATCATATTTAGAGAAGTGTTCTGTATACAGTAAATGCTATATATTTTTAATTATTTTCTTCAGGAGAAGAAGAAAGACCAACTGATCTTTTCTTCCAGATTCTGATTCCAGTCACCGTAAACATTAGTAACATATCTGTGTATAGATGCAATAGACATAAATTTGGTTCCTGGTTAGAATAGCAAGACAATGTGAAGCAAGTTTATATTCAGGTTTCTGTAAGACAATCTCAAGGCAGAAAACCTTCATTGTCCTGATAAAGAAGTTTGCTCTGTAAGGTAATCAAAAAGGTAGCACCCTGGAGAGCTCCAAGTATACTGTAATTTCCATCAATAAAACCCTGCCTGAATTTAAGGAGGGCTATATAGTTTTGATGATTAGCAGTACCTCCAGTTGTCAAATTTTTGACACACAAGCCAAGGAAGCAAGAAGCACACATATTCCAGCAAGGTATATTTATTATTAAAACAGTGATAGAAATTTACCAGCTTCCATTGTAGTAAGTTAGTATGACAGGCCTCTTTAAAGTGATTTTCCCTAGATCTTTCAGCACTCAGATTGAGTTGCCTTTTCTGAAATGAACTACCTTGCTTCCAGTTTTCCCACAATTTCTCATATCATTGAGCAAAGCTTCTTTACTTAAAAAGACCCAGCCTGGAAACTCTCAACTGGATGGGGTAAGATTTCCTAGAACAGAGAAGTGCTGGTAATATAGACTGCTCTGGTGCCAGATCATCAAGGTTTGTGTAAACATTTGTGACTGTTATTATTTCCTCCTGTCCAAATTCCTAAGTCATAGTTCCAAAAGGAGTGAAACCAAATGGTTATGAGAATTGGAGTGTTGGCTTCAAGCGGTATTTTTGCCGCTTGAATGGAATCTCTATCCCTTGCTATCTTATGTCATATAGGATCATATATATATATATATGAGGAACATTTTAATGGAAACATATTTTTAAAGCTGCTGAATTAATTCAAATTCCAAAGACTTCACATTAATTTGTGAAGAAAAAAATAAGAAATGAGAAACCCAAGGGTGATTTAACCTTCATATATGAAAGCTTGTATCCCTCCAGCTTATTTTCTTTCAGTACCACTATATTTTATGTGAAATAAGGTTTATATATACACTTTCTTGCATAACTGTTTTATAAAAAATATATATGATAAGTGAATGAAAGATAGTCTTTTAATGATCTAGTAACAACTTGCTGCTTAAAGTGTACAGTCATTCCTTTGACTGGATGAATCATCCAAATTGACTGCATATCTTTCAGTACATGAAAAAAAATACAAGAACATCCCTTCAGAATACCTAAAAATCTCTGCACTGCAGAAGACAGCAAAGCCCTTCCCATGCATTTATGTATTGTGATTGAGTTTTTTCCCCATAATAAATATAGATGAAGAGCTAATGGAATAACTATATAGTACTGCCCTGGAGTAGCAAATACTCTAATTGAAAACGAGAGTCAGCCTACTTAAACTGCTTTGAAATATCTAAGATCATGTAATTTCATAACAGTGTAGAATTTATTAAGCCATATTCATATTTTCTATTTATCCAGTATCTTTTTCATCTAGTTTTCACTTTTATAGTATATTTTATGGTCAAGAATCTATATGTTTTCAGTTATCAAATGGTTTGCTATTTTTATACCAATTCACTGCCTATTTGCTGTGCTAGTAAATCCCCATATAAGTTACCCTTTGGAATACCTGCATTATCAACCATATTTCTTTTTTCTCTTAGATTCTGGGGTGTAGAAGGACAGTGCAATGGAAATTACTGCTTGGCTTCCATCATCTAATATAATTTTGTTGAGGGATTAGAGAGATTTAATAGAGAATACCTTTTTGTTGGCTAGAAATGGCTATTATAATTATCCAAGGCTATTATGCTAACAGCATTTCAGTCTGCCAAAAAAAAAAAAGCTATTGCAAGGTTAAATGATTTTTCATTTATTGTTATAACAATAATATATTAATTCAGCCTTGGTTAAAATGGTAATTCATTAACAATAAGGTTAGTTATAATAATAATAATAATAATTGTATTAACAAAATACAATATCCTGTAATCTATGAAGTAAGGAATCCAGAACAAGTAAAATTATTGCCAAATGATTGCCTGTAGTTTATGATTAAAATATTATTCAGATTTAACAAGTATACAGTACCATTGCTATACTAAGCATATTGACTTTTTTCTTCTTGCTCCTTATCTCAAAAGATTCCAATTTCTATATTCTCTGTCTCTCTTTCCCCTCTCCCCCCTCTCTTTGTTTTATTTATTTTTGGGGATAGGAACATTATAGGTCCTTAAATGGATTGACCCTCAGTTGGATAGGTGATGGAAACAATGTTCTACACTCTATTCTGTTGAGTGCTGCTAAATTTGGGATGAATCTTCATGTTGCTACTCCAAAGGTAAGGGATTTTTACTGTTACAAACAGAAGTCAGTTTGTGATGCTTAAATATTTAAAATATTTTAAACATAGTGTGAGATATTCAGAAGAGGTANCGTCTTTCCTACTCCCTCATATTCCTTTCCTCTATTCCCCCTCGGGACGCTCTCTATGTACGTCTCCGTACTTCTTCCCTCACTACAGTGGGGTATGTTCTCAGTACATCCTGTCCCATCTAACCTCTTTCCTCCCTTCCTATTCAGACGGGAGAGTATGCCCGTAACGTCTCCTGGTTCTTTATGTAAAGTTCCCTCGCTTATCTGACCATCTTTTTCTCTATGGTTTACCATCCGGATATACATTGATCTAGTGACCACATTTTCCGAATTCTCACCATCCAACTTTACACAGTCAGGGATCATATGGGAGTCCCTATGGTTATTCCTTCCCCGGGAATAGTTCGTTCTGGTCCAGGTTCTCAGGTTCTTGTGCATAGGGCACAAATCAACATGTCTATTGATAGAGTTCTTGTCTGAGAACCAGGCTTCTTTCAATAGGCGTCCGCTCTGCGAAAGCTCGGCGTTTTATATTTATTAAACCTTTTTATGGTTTCATAATTCTCCTGGTGGGCTCACTTTTTTAAGTGCTATCAGTCATATATATATATATATATATATATATATATATATATATATATATATATATATATATATATATATATATATATATATATGAGGAACATTTTAATGGAAACATATTTTTAAAGCTGCTGAATTAATTCAAATTCCAAAGACTTCACATTAATTTGTGAAGAAAAAAATAAGAAATGAGAAACCCAAGGGTGATTTAACCTTCATATATGAAAGCTTGTATCCCTCCAGCTTATTTTCTTTCAGTACCACTATATTTTATGTGAAATAAGGTTTATATATACATTTCCTTGCATAACTGTTTTATAAAAAAATATATATGATAAGTGAATGAAAGATAGTCTTTTAATGATCTAGTAACCACTTGCTGCTTAAAGTGTACAGTCATTCCTTTGACTGGATGAATCACCCAAATTGACTGCATATCTTTCAGTACATGAAAAAAATACAAGAACATCCCTTCAGAATACCTAAAAATCTCTGCACTGCAGAAGACAGCAAAGCCCTTCCCATGCATTTATGTATTGTGATTGAGTTTTTTCCCCATAATAAATATAGATGAAGAGCTAATGGAATAACTATATAGTACTGCCCTGGAGTAGCAAATACTCTAATTGAAAATGAGAGTCAGCCTACTTAAACTGCTTTGAAATGTCTAACATCATGTAATTTCATAACTGTAGAATTTATTAAGCCATATTCATATTTTCTATTTATCCAGTATCTTTTTAATTTAGTTTTCACTTTTATAGTATATTTTATGGTCAAGAATCTATATGTTTTCAGTTATCACACGGTTTGCTATTTTTATACCAATTCACTGCCTATTTGCTGTACTAGTAAATCCCCCTATAAGTTACCCTTTGGAATACCTGCATTATCAACCATATTTCTTTTTTCTCTTAGATTCTGGGGTGTAGAAGGACAGTGCAATGGAAATTACTGCTTGGCTTCCATCATCTAATATAATTTTGTTGAGGGATTAGAGAGATTTAATAGAGAATACCTTTTTGTTGGCTAGCAATGGCTATTATAATTATCCAAGGCTATTATGCTAACAGCATTTCAGTCTGCCAAAAAAAAAAGCTATTGCAAGGTTAAATGATTTTTCATTTATTGTTATAATAATAATATATTAATTCAGCCTTGGTTAAAATGGTAATTCATTAACAATAAGGTTAGTTATAATAATAATAATAATAATAATAATAATAATAATAATAATAATAATAATAATAATAATAATTGTATTAACAAAATACAATATCCTGTAATCTATGAAGTAAGGAATCCAGAACAAGTAAAATTATTGCCAAATGATTGCCTGTAGTTTATGATTAAAATATTATTCAGATTTAACAAGTATATAGTACCATTGCTATACTAAGCATATTGACTTTTTTCTTCTTGCTCCTTATCTCAAAAGATTCCAATTTCTATATTCTCTGTCTCTCTTTTCCCCCTCCCCCCTCTCTTTGTTTTATTTATTTTTGGGGATAGGAACATTATAGGTCCTTGAATGGATTGACCCTCAGTTGGATAGGTGATGGAAACAATGTTCTACACTCTATTCTGTTGAGTGCTGCTAAATTTGGGATGAATCTTCATGTTGCTACTCCAAAGGTAAGGGATTTTTACTGTTACAAACAGAAGTCAGTTTGTGATGCTTAAATATTTAAAATATTTTAAACATAGTGTGAGATATTCAGAAGAGGTAACTCATTTGTTTTTGCCTACTATGTCTATTCATGGAGTTTAACTGTGAGGAACCTTGTGGACCAGAAATAATTTAAAAGAGAGCATATTATAACTCTTGCTCACATTTTGCAAATATAACTTGCAAATATTTGCTACCATTCATCTTATTCTCTTTGAACAGCATTCGCTCAACATGGCAGACTACAACTCAGGATTATCATCCTGAGGATACTGCATTAGGAAAGCAGAGAGAATGGAGAGGACGAACTCTTATTAAGTTTCAGTATTACAGACAGAAAGGGGATTTTTGTTTCTGCTTTTTATCTTCCTCTTCCTCTTCCTCCTCCTTGTCTTTTGCCACTGCGTATTTTGTAGCTGAATGTGAATCGGTAATAAATCAGCTCATTTACTTCATACAGAATACACCACAAGATTACAGTACACCTTCATTTATGATGGCAATTGGGATCAGGATTGCCATTGCTAAGTGATGCAGTTGTAAATCACAATGTCACATGACTGCATCACTTAACAAAGGCAATCCAGGCAGTCCCAGTTGTTGTCTTAAGCCAAGACAGTGGGTTGTTATGGGGGAAGCAGCAGGAGTCCCAGAACAGGAGCACGGGAGGTGGGGGCATAGCAAAGGGGATGGGAAAGGCCCTGGGCAGCCTGGCACAGGCTGTAACATGAGTTGGGGACCCCAGTGATGCAAGCGCAGGGAGTCCCAGGAAAGGAGGGTGCAGTGTAGTTGTTAAGTGGGAAGTGAAAGTAGTTCCAGGTGAGTGGGGGGGTGCCACGGGTGGGGGTGACTCTGGGAAGCTTGGCGCAGGTCACACATGAATTGAGGTGGGGTACTGCAGTTTAGCCCCAACAGTGAGAATGCAGGGGAGAAGGTGCTGATGGGTGTGTGTGAGCACAGGGGGACCAGGGAAGAAGGGCACAGGGTGCATGTGAATGCAGGGAGGCTAGGAAAGAAGAGCATGGGATGCATGCAAGAATATGTGCATATGCAGAGAGGCCCAAGAAAGCATGATGAGATGCAGGAATGCAGGGGAGGACTTACCAGAGCAACTTATGAACTTCATTTGAGGAAAGCTGGCAATAAAGGCTGCAAATGGTGGCCATGTGACTGTGGAGCATTGCTGCAACTATGTAGAGAGGTCATTATAAAGCTAGACATTTTATAATTAGCCTATCTTCAGAATGTTAAAGCAAGTTTTACCAATATTAGAACATATTGTAATATATTTCTTCTCATTTGATAGGGTTTTGAGCCAAATCCTACAATAATCAAAATAGCTGAAGAATATTCTATAAAGGTATGAGCATTACATTTTAAAATGTGATTGTAAACTCTACAGCATGTTAACTTAGCATACTTCTTTTCTTTTATTCGATCAGTACGGCACCAAACTGCTTCTCACAAGTAACCCATTGGAAGCTGCCAAGGGGGCCAATGTTTTAATTACAGACACATGGATAAGTATGGGGCAAGAAGAAGAGAAACAAAAGAGACTGAAGGCTTTCCAAGATTATCAAATAACAATGGAGGTAAAATATGTTTTTCTTTCATTCTGTTTATTGATTCCTAAAAATTAGCTTCAAAAATACCACTAAGGGTTTGCTAACTTATTTGGGAAAAATTAAAGGAGATATCTATTTTGATTAAAACTTTCAGTTACTCTGAAGAAACTGTGCAAATGCCACAAGAATGACCAATTCCTGAGACTAAAAATTAATCTAATCTAGTTTGAAGATGCCCTTTGGGAAGTTTTGCTGTCCAATTTGCATCCAATCTTATATTTGACAGTATGCAATAATTAAATATTAGGCCATGTGTTGTAGTTAGAACTTGCACAGATTAGAAAATAAGTTCTACTAAAGATAGAACCTTTTTTAAAAAAGTAAAATTTCTTTATATACTTGATATTCTGTATCTATATCATATGGATATGGCAAAAAGTAAGAGATATCTGTTCTTCACAATATAGGGTAATTTTACATCTCCCTTAGTAGAGTGCAATAAATCATGGGTTATTAAATACATGGAACACATGTGGATAGAGGAATAGATTCCACTGTAAAAAGGGTGGCAGGACTATAGTACATTAATTCTAAATGCATCAAGACCCTAATATAAAATATTGGCAATTTTCTAATTTGAAAACTAAATTAGTTTTATGTGAAGTATGAGCTAAATGTATACTTGATATATAAAGCTAATGCCCCTTTTGCTTCTTTCTATCAATTCTTATATTGAATGTAATGAGATTTTTTAATGAGTACAAACATGCTCAGTTTATTGGACATTATTTGTAGATTTTAGATTGTTTGGACCAAGCTGAGTGATATTTTCTTATTAACAGATGTGCAGTAAGTGTTTATTTTACCTTCTCTGAATTTTGCTGCCTATTTGTAAAATCTTCTGATTGAATCATGCTAATACACTTACTGCAATTTAAAAAAAAAAATCAGGTAAATAGGTTTCTATACGTTAAAATAAGATCTGGGACCTCCATTTTTAATTTTGGATGCAATTGCCTTTACCTGTTGAGACTGGTGAATAATTTGGTAGTAGTCTTAGATCCTCAGCTCATGCTCAAAAGCAGTGCTAGCTTTGGCCAAGAATGCCTTTACACATCTAGTGAGCTAGTTGCACCCATTCCTGGATAAGTAACCCTTTGAGATGGTCACTTATGCTTTAATCACTTCATGGTTGGACTATTGGAAGGTGCTTTACATGGGAGTATTTTTGAAGACCAGTTAGAATATACATCTAGTCCAGAATGCAACAGTGTGGGTAGTGATGGGCATGTCTTGATATTTAGATTTTAGATTTAGATTTTATTAAATTTATACCCCGCCCTTCTCCCGGAGGACTCAGGGCGGCTTACAGCATATGTAACACTACTACATGAGCTGCACTGGTTGCCTGTAAGTTTCCAAGCCCAATTCCAGGTGTTAGTTATCATCTTGAAAGCATTTCATGGCACAGGACCTGGCTATATGAAGGATCACCTATATTCCATGGTTTCTGATCACCCAATATGGAACATATGACATAATACTATGTGCTTTAATACAGTTGAACCATTTTTATTGCTACTGTTTAATAGCTGCCATGTTATAAGAGTGATATGCCAGGTGGGTATACATCTCCCCCCTCTCTCTTTTCATTAATCTTTTATGTTACTGTATAGTGTTTGTGTGTATACTGTATCCACATGCCCACAGATAAGCACACATAGATTCCTAAAGCATTTTTATGTGTTTTGTTTTGTCTTTGTAAAAGTTGGTTGTGAAGTAGAAGAGGATATTTGTGTTTTGTCTGTAAAGTTTACTATCAACCACTGTTTCACATGCAGTTCAATATCACAGAATAAGGAACTTACTCTAACCGAAAGACAAAAATACCAGAATATTTATATTTAACTTAAAGCTTATAGTGTTGTGCAACACTTCAGATGTGCAGAGGCAAAAACCCATTTTATAGTGCTTAAGGGCAAGAATGCAATACCTTTTTATAGGTTTATGGAGATTCTCAGTTATACAGATCATAGATATCCCAAAGGTGCTTTTTCATGAGGTAACTGGACTTTCTTGTTTTTCTTTGAAGATATTTTGCTTCTCATCCAAGAATCTTTGTCAGCTCTGACTGGATGATGGGGAATGGAAAGATTTATACTCCTTGTATAAATCCTTCCATTCCACACCATCCAGTCAGAGCTGAAGAAGCTTCTTGGATGAGAAGCGAAATATCTTCAAAGAAAAACAAGGAAGTCCAGTTGCCTCGTGAAAAAGCACCTTTGAGATACCTTTTTATATAATTCCTTAGACCAAGCCCACCTTTTTATAGGTTTGTTCTGTAGCTAGAAAGAGCAACTGTGCAATCCTGGGGAAAGATGCGACTTTTTAAAAAAACAGGTGAGTTTTAATTTGAAGCACTGTCAATATTTGTCTTAATAAATATGATAAGTTATACATCTTTCCAAACACACACACATAGATACATATACGTGTACATATACATGTACATATATATATACATAAAATATGCTGCCCATCTCACCAATGGGCGTGAGTGAGAGAGACTATAAACTATATATAACACTGTCCAGAGTTGCTTTCTTAGTGAGATGCATGGTTTCTACATTTAGTATATAAATACAAACAAAGTTGTTTTTCCTTTCTATTGCAACATTACTTACTAATGAGATTCAAATATATGTATATCTTCTGAATGTTTAGACTGCGCAGGAGGCTGCTTCTGATTGGACTTTCTTACACTGCTTACCCAGAAAGCCAGAAGAAGTTAACGATGAAGTATTCTATTCTCCAAAGTCACTGGTTTTTCAAGAGGCTGAGAATAGGAAATGGACTATTATGGTAGGAGCATTGAGTCACTTATATGTGAGCAATTCTGTAGGTGATGGAGCTTTACAGGTAGTCCTTGACTTACAACAGTTCATTTAGTGACTCTTTGAAGTTACAATGGCACTGAAAAAAGTGACCTATGACTGTTTTACACACTTACAACCCTTGCAACATCCCCATGGTCACATGATCAGAATTTGGATGCTTGGCAACTTGCTCATATTTATGACAGTTGCCGTGTCCTGGGGTCATGTGATCACTTTTTGGGATAAGCAAAGTCAGTGGGAAAGCCAGATTCACTTAACAACCATTTACTAACTTAACAACTGCAGAAATTTGCTTAATAACGGTGGCAAGAAAGGTTGTAAAATGGGGCAAAATTCACTTAATAAATGTCTCACTTAGTAAAAGAAATTTTGGGATCAATTGTGGACGTAAATCGAGTACTACCTGTATTCTATTTTTCTTTGGATAGTTGGAATCATACCAACTATCCAATATATATATCAAATTGAGGCCTGCAGTAGTAATAATTATTTCAGCATTGACTAAATCATTTTCAGGTGTTTATGCTTATAAGCAAAATGGCATAAATGGGCTTTTACAGTCCCTGTTTGACTAATATGGGTGGGAGGGAGCAATGCTAAGTATTAAAAATAAGAACAAGACAAGGCAAGAAAGTTTTGATGGATATAGTCCCATTATTATTAGTATTAGACACACTTGTTGACCAATGGATAATTGGCTAAGTTTGAATGAACTATCTCCTACGACTTCATGATTGTCAGCATGGAGGCAGGAACTGTGGTTAATCAGGATTTCTGTCCTAAAAAGAAAATATTTAGAAGGTAGCACCCCCTAAGTTGAGGCTAAGTTGGTAGCATCAATAACCTGAGCTAACAAAATATATTTTTTAAAAAAATATCTTAAAAAATCTCCCAACATATCTTTATATGACAGTGGTGGCGAACCTATGGCACGGGTGCCAGAGGCGGCACTCAGAGCCTTCTCTGTGGGCAGCGTGCCGTCGCCCCAGTCCTAGGCCTTCAGCTGGGTTTTATAAAACCTTTTTGCTTTAGGCTTCCACCGCCGCGTGCAAAAAAAAAAAAAAAGGTTCAATCAACCAATTTCAACTTCTTGCGGGGAAAAAAAAAGATCCTGCAAAGTTGGAATTGATTGATTGAACTTTTTAGTCCCACCCAATCTGCCGTTACCACTGAAGCCATGTCCACCCAATGGGCCACGCCCACCCGGCACTTGACGATGCATAAGTAAGTTTTGGGTTGCAGTTTGGGCACTCGGTCTCTAAAAGGTTCGCCATCACTGTTATATGAGATCACCGATTCCTCCATTCTAAGGCCCCCTCCCTTCTCCCTTTGTTATGTGACCCAGAGTGGATGTTATTATGGGGTTAAAAAAGAATTTCAAAAGCCACACTTTGCAGTTTTCTCTATATTTTTTATAGATTCTTGCTGCCTGCTGCCAAATATGTTTTTTAAGATAAGCAACTCCATTATCCAAAAAAGGTGATGCTCATTAATTAACTAACTCATTCTAAAGAGTTAGACAAATTCCTTGGTGATAAGGCTATCATTGGCTACAGCGATGTTTGTATGTGACCTGCAAGATTACAAGTGGCAAACTTTGAACTCCATTTGCCAGCAAGCCGTAATAGGAAAAACTTTTCTTCCCTTGACTCATCTGTAACCTTCCCATGGATATCTAGTTAGCCTTTTGGGAAAAAGGGATACTGGACTGGATGCAACTTTAGTCATGTTCAACAATGTTTTTACGCATTTACTTCTTGATATTAAGATACACCGCCTATATGTTCTACATTATTATCATTTTACTGATACTTTCAATGCTGTCAGCAAACATTGAGTTGGACTTTGATACTAATCATAATTATGGGCTGAATTAGTCACGACCCAGTCTATATCCAATTGATTTTATTGGTTATTAATCTAACAAACTAAACCCACACTATGTATGTAATATTTTTCCTAGTGTAATTGTATTAATTCTCCCTTCTAGGCTGTCATGGTTTCCCTGCTGACAGATTATTCACCACAGCTGCAAAAGCCTACATTTTGATTTTGAGGTTTCTGCCAAAGAAAATATTCTCTTTTTTTCATATATTTTATTGATTTTTTTTAAAACATAAATCACTTAATAGTTGGTAAACAGTGTGTTTGTTGGGTTTACATTTGTAAAGAAAAATCAATAACAATTGGTTTCTATAATCCATAATCCACATAGTACATTGAGTTGATTTCCCCTTTTCCCCAAAATATCTTCTTTGCAAACCTTGAAATAATACAGTTCTTATTATTTTGATAAATAGCAGTTACATATATGATTTTCCCCAATATTCCTAGAAATAATAATCACATCAATATAATATTTCTTTTCTATCTAATTATTCTGGTTGCCTCATCTTATATCCTGTTACAGTCCTTATTTAGATTTGTTTCTCCCATAAAGTTCAAAGTATTCTTGAGAAAATCTTAACCAGCAAAGAAAATATTCTTTATAGCAAAATAATTTGCTTTATAAAGGAACTTTTTCTTTCAAAAGCAAGATCAAATCAGTGCTAATTATTTAACAAATCTACAAAGGTTCATGCTATATTTTCACAGTGGATCTGTTCTTTTATTTAAACATTGCGGCTGCACTTTTTTTCTATTGCCTTCCTGTTCTGTAGTCTGCACTTTGATTAGATTCCCATATATTTAATATTTTAGCAAATGGATCATTTCAAAATCCAAACAATGGTTTGACATTGTAGAAGTAGGAGTGACCTCATAAACATGTCCTGGAGTCATTACTGTAAAAATCACTGCAATTTTCTCAAAAGCTTTCTTCTTTCCCTGCTGATTGGAGAGCATGACCAGATATGTCCCTGTGCACTGGGGGGGGGGAGAGTTGGGGAGTGGGGAAAAAAGAAAAAATTACATGCATTTCAGATCCAATAGGAAAAAATCCAAGCTCTTTCTTTTCAAATACTATACTTTAATTTGATCCATGAGACCTACTCTTATGCTAGAATTCCTAGAAAAGAATAGAATTTGGGTATAATTAATAAACTGTTATGCCTATTCCAGGCAAACTTGCCAAATTTGCTCTTTAAAATTATAATGTTCTCACCTATATCTCTCACGTTATTGTTTAGAGTATGTAATTATCCTTCAGATTTTGCTTTCTTCAAACATCCCATTGTACTATTCGGCAAAAAAAAACCCATGACGTCGGGTATAATTTATTTGATGATATATATACGTATTCATAATACTTTATGTTGAATTGAATAACTTGACATCCCAGATTAAAATGACCCCTCAGCTGTTTTTATGTAGTTCCTGGAGCTTCCTCTGATGACATGAGAAACAAATAATAACTGTATCACAAGCATTTAAATGCATTCAATATCTTAAAAAAAATCCCTTCCAATAGGCATACATTATAAGCCATGATAGCAACAAAATATCACATGTCATGTGTCATGATTATGTAATTTGCAGCAGTTGCATTATGATGTTTGATGCAAGTAGATAAATCACATTGTTTTCATAAAGATGTGTCGTACTGTCATTTGTCTTTCCTTATTTCTCTATGAATGTCTATGTCTTTCCTTTCTAATCTAAGTAAAAACAGAAAATTCTGGCTCCACCCACATGGTGATGCATTCCCATCTATTTTGTATCCTTCCTCCTCCCACTATAGCCCCAACAACCAAAAAATTGCCCACCCATTCCTCTGTATTTTAACTATGTATATTTTACAAATTATAAATTTGGAAGTGGAGTCTGCAACAATAAACCGGAAAACTAAAATCTATGTTGCAGAGGAGTTCCATTTCTGAACCTATTGGGCTCCATATAAAATTCTTTAAATGGTTTTTGGATGCTTTAAAAACTACAATATATTTAAGCTGCCACAAGACCCTACAGTAGTATATTTGGAAGGACAATTGTAAACAAATAGTCATAATATTTTATTTATTTAAATGGCTAAGGGATTTCTCTCTTTTCATGCATTCCATGTTTTCCTAAATGCTTATAGTCACTAAGACCCAAATTTCCAAGAGAATGCAGATTGTTACAGTGGAAATGCTGACTTTTTCATGGCGCATTATTTCACTTAACAGTATATCCTATGAGGCAGATTCTCTTGACAGATTTAATTTTCTTGCAGTTTGCACAATATGTATGCAAAGTTTAACTTGTGTTTCGCCATATGTTGAAAAAAATGCATCAAGGAAGCCTGATTTGCTTGTTTGAAAACAGTGGAGCTACTGCATCTAGTATGAACATACTTTTGATTAGAAAAACTGGTTTAACACTCAATTAGCTGTTTAGGGAATAAGTCTCTTTGACTTGGTTTGAATCAGGGATTGCCTATTTCAGCTGAATGTCTATTCTAAAGCAAAATTATACCTTTTCTAACAAGTAACGTTTAAAACTGCTGGGAAAGATTGAGGGCAATAGAAGAACGGGATGACAGAGAATGAGGTGGCTGGATGGAGTCACTGAAGCAGTAGGAATGAGCTTAAATGGACTCCAGAAGATGGTAGAGGACAGGAAGACCTAGAGGAACATTGTCCATGGGGTCGCGATGGGTCAGACATGACTTCGCAACAACAAAATGCTTAAAACACAAGACATATGTGTAAGGGAAGGGGATCCCCAATGAATGGAATGAACTTTGCAGGAACATTGTATAGGTATGATGGAATGAAGATTTTAAAGAAATAAATGCACAGTTTTTCCTTTACATTTGTTTCTTGTTTTGGGAGATTACACAAGAAGACATAATTATCCTGCTGTAAAAAGAAATCCTATCAAATTTCAGACAAATTAAAAAGTCTGCCCAGAAGGAATTTTTAAAATGGGGAAAATATTAATTTAGCTGGGTTCCATTCAATAAGATGTGAAGGGTAGCAGCAAGTTTGGGAAAGCAGCAGGTAGAGGGAGAGAAATGGGTATCTACCTAGTCAGAGCGGTTTGGTGCACAATGAAGTATGCCACACGAAAAGTTATAATACTTGCTCCACAGAGCTTCTGGGAGGGTTCCTATGATTAAAAGGATCAGAAGAAGTCAAGGGTCCTCTCAGTCACTTGACTTCTTTTCCCCTCTTTCCCTTAGCATTCTGATTTTTATAGAGAAATGTAAACAGTGCAGCCCTATTTGTAAGACATTGGGTCTGCTATCAGAAATACTGAACTACAACATGCTGTGTCACTCATGAAGCATTCTGGTTTGGCTTTGTTGGTTTGCATGCATTCTGTTTTGCCTCACTCAAATACCTGCCCAAGGAAACATTTTATCAGTATTTTAGTGCCTTTAAAAAAAATCTGTTTCCACCTCACCGAATTGTTAATTGGAACTTTGTAATGTAGGATCATACCTTATGCTCACATAAATTAGTAAATTATATTTCAAGTATGAGGTTGATTAATGTTGAGTGTGTATGGATATTTTTGCCGTTTAGATTGGCTTTTACTCAGAAGTCTAATTCTGTGACCTTTCACAGAAAGTTATTTCATTTAAGTCAGCTGCAGATTCACCAAAGCTGAGTATCTTCAATCTAGGGGATTAATATGGATGCACAGAATAATATCAGTTTGAAAGTTAAAAAGTTAAAAAATAAATAAAAGTTAATATTGATATTGCCTTGCAGGTCTTATATAATGGCAAGACATTTGAGCCACAAATTGTTATTTGGAAAAAAGGTGTCCCACAACAGCCTATTCAACAGCCTTTCTGATATTGGAGTCAACCTGTATCTTTCTTGGGAATTTGCTATGCAAGCGGACCTGACCTAGGGTGGATTTTATATTGGGTTTTAAATATTCGGAAGACGCAACATTAAAATTCGGTTTAATTCGGTTTTAAGGGGGGGATTGTATATATGTTCTGGTTTTAAATATGTTGTGCGCCGCCCTGAGTCCCTGTCGGGAGAAGGGCGGCATATAAATTAAATAAAATAAATAAATAAATAAATAAATAACTGCAAATAACTGGAGATCTAATTACTTTGACAGAGTCATAGGTTATCCTATCTTTGATTTATACCAGTGGTGGCGAACCTATGGCACGCGTGCCAGAGGCGGCACTCAGAGCCCTCTCTGTGGGCACGTGCGCCATGGCCCGGAGATGGCAATCGTCCCTCTTCAACCAGCCGCCTGCTAACTCACCGAGGTCCCACATGGCCGGATGCATCCCAGCATCCATGAGCTCGCTGGCCTCTGTGTGCAGGGGCTGATGGTGTCAGGCAGCAGCCGCCCCGGCCCCTGCCTCACCTTGCCCTGTGACAATAGCACCCCCGCCCTGCCTCGCCTTGCCTCGCCTCACCCTGCAGGATGAGCCTCCTGCCTACCACCCCACCTGCCAGAGACCCCCTGGATCTCCTCCAACCCTGCCCAGCCTCCACAGGCGTCCGTCCCCACGAGCAATATCGAGGTAATCACGCCCACCTTGGCTACACCCACCCAATCTGCCATGACCACCACAGCCACACCCACCCAGTGGGCCACGCCCACCTGGCACCCGGTGATAAATAAATGGGTTTTGGGTTGCAGTTTGGGCACTCAGTCTCTAAAAGGTTCGCCATCACTGATTTATGTTACAAATAGAAGAACTTATGGATGAAAAATATACAAGCTTTTTTCTTTCTAAAGCCTACTTACCTATAAGTAGGAAATTTGAAAGGGCTATAACCAGGGCTTTTTTTCTCATAGAACGCCCAGAACGGAGTTCCGGCACCTTTTTTGGATGGAACCTTGTAGGGTAGGCAAGGCGGGTTGTGTGACATGTGTGAGTTCTGGCACCTTTTTTTTTTTTTTTTTTTTTTTTTGAAAAAAAGCACTGGCTATAACAAATGACCCAATTTTCTTTCTTTCTGCAAGGAACATCCCTGTAGAATATAGTGTATAGCAGAAAGGCAACATGATTACACACACACTTGCTAGATCCTTTTTATGATAGTTGAAAAATCTTCAGAGGATGATCACTGAAACCTGGCAGCAGAGTTTTCTTTTTTTCTTTTGAGGGCGACCCATGAAAAATTGATATGTGCTTTTAAATAGTCATAG